CTGTTCTTGACTCTTCCATTTGTAGACTGAGTTCAGGTTGATGCTACCATGTACGTCATTCTGTAGTTGTTGTGTGCTCCCCCTTTTTGTCATACAACTCCTACCTTTACAGTTTTGACAATCACAATTAGACATAATAACAATTGGTTGGTTGTTTTTGGTAAGTACTGTGGAGTCGGTTCCGACTCATAGTGACACTGCACAGGGTTTCCAAGGCTGTAAATCTTTACGGGAGCAGAATGCCTCATCTTTCTCCCATGGAACCTCTGGTAGTTTTGAGCTGCTGACCTTGAGGTTGGCAGCCCGTCTCATAACAATTAGTCACTATTAAATCAGAAGAATCCTATCACCATATCCTTTCACCAGACCCATCTAGATAAGATAAAGGCTATTCAGTGGGGAATCTACCTTCCTCTGTACACTCTGAAACTAAACTCCCTCTTGAAAACTTGTAAGCCAGCCACTTAGTGACTCTATAGTCTCCCTCCCCCGCCCCCTCCCAATGTCTAAGTTTCCTGTCACTATCAACCCTGTTCACTGAGAGAGCAGACTTGATCCTTAATGAGAAAACTCCCTCTCAGTTGGTATTTTGAGCTACTACATCCATAATTATAGGTCAAGTTCATCAATTGTAGCAATTTACACTTGCTTCCTGTATCATCCTTTAGTTGAATTCTGATCATCAAGCCATACAAAGTAGGTCAAATGGGTACTATCTGCAATTTTGGATGTTCTTGCTCGCCTCCCCCCACTTCATATCAGCTGGATGCTTCACTCTCATCTCTAGCCTATCGTGGCTTGGTCAGTGCCCATGGACTCAGGAATTCCCAAGGCTGCCCAAACTTTGGACCAACCAGCCCTACCTCTTGTCTCATCTCAAGTTCAACAGGAGTCTCTGGTACATGGTTAGACTCATTACTGCCTTTCCCCTACACTTAAAGTCACCAGTAGACCAGTGCAGTCAGCCGCAAGCTTACATGCCTGCTCGTGTGTTCCCTTTGAGTGTCAGTTTTGGAGGGGGATTTGTCCTCAAGGGACTTGATTCCTTGCCTCCTTGATGGCTCTCAGGCAAACAGCTTGCTTGTTCTTGTCATAGCCAATCAGACTGCTGTTTTTGGTTTTGTTTCTTCCTGCTGGTCTTTCTTTCAAGAAGTATCTTCTGTTCCTCTAGCCACTCCGGGCTGATCTGAATGTCCTTTCAAGTGGGAATATCCCACTTCAGAAGGTTCTGGGTGGGGCTTGGGTTCCACCTAAGGTCCTATACACTACAAAGGCTCCTCAAGAAGCCTATTTCACTGGACAAGTTCTAGAACCTCTTGTAGGTATTCCAATTAGTTATAAGCTGAAGACAAGCTTACAAGCTTTCTGTAATCATGTTTTCCGATATTCCTTTTTCTCCCATTCAAGTGTCTATTTTACAATAGTAGGCAAGGGAAACCAATATCCATAAGACGTTCAAGCATCTTAATATTATTTCCCTTCATACCCATTCAGACTGTGCCTTGATCCCTGTATCACAGAGCTCTGTTGTTCTAAGGTTGAGTATATATCACTATTTACCTCTGTGCCATTTAGCTCATGCAAACCTACTTAAGTGTTCCTCTATCATCCTTATTCTTCCCTCTCCCCTTCCTTGTATATTGCCCTCCCCAAAACCGAGCTATGATGTGACTATCCTCTAACCTGTACTTTACTGACCCCTCCCTCCCATCACTGGTAAACAACAAAGAATTTTTTTTTTCTTATAGTATGGATATCTTTTCTTAAGCTTTTATAATAATGGTCTTATGGAATATTTGACCCTTTATGACTGACTAATTTCATTCATGTCCTCCACATTATGTGGTGGCTTACAGCTTCCATGTTATTCAAGGTTCATCCATGTTATGATTTGGCTTACAGCTTCCATGTTATTCTTCAAGGTAGCCTAATATTCCATTGTGTGTATGTACCTAAGTTTGTTTATCCTTTTTTCCATTGATGGGCACTGAGACTGTAGCCATCTTTTTGCTGTTGTGAATAGTGCTACTGTGAACATTGGTGTGAATATAGCTACTCATGTTATGGGTCGTATTTCTTGTGAATACCAAGTAGAGGTATTTCTATTTCCAACTTTCTGAGGAAGCACCATACTGTTTTCCAGAGTGGTTGGACCATTTTGCATTTCCACCAGCAATGTAGGAGGGTCCCAGCCTCTCTACATCCTTGCCAGCATTTATTGTCCTCCTCTTTTTTGAACTTCGTTGTAACTGCTGGTGTGAGATGATATTTCATTGTTGTTTTGATTTGCATCTCTCTGTTTGGCGCTGTGGTTTAATTAATGCGCCAGATTGCAAAGTCGTTTGAACTGCAAGGTCAGTGGTTCAAGCTTACCAGCTGCTCCTCGGAAACCCTATATAGGGTCACTATAGGTCAGAACCAACTCAGTGGCACTTAACAACAACAATGGCTAATGATTATGGACATTTCTTCATATGTTTGTTGGCTGCCTTAATGTTCTCTTTGTTGAAGTGTCTGTTCATGTCCTATGCCCATTTCTTAATTGACTCCATTTATTCTTCAAGCTTTTTGTTTTGTCTTCACAACCCAGGGTCTCTCTGTGGTACTTTATTCTTGTCTTCATCACCACTTCCTGTTTTCAGGGATCACTGTCTGCTACCAGCACTCATGCCCCAAGCACTCTCAGTTCCAGCCCTCATTCCCTACTCTTTTTACTACATACCCCATCCTATGGTAACCCTTCCTTACTGTCCTAACTGCCCCCCAACACACACACACATATACACTTCCAGTTCCCAAACCCTGTCATCAGCTTGTCTTCTTACTCTAGTGCCAGCCTTGGTTGCCAGGTGACCCTCCTGGTGGCTGTCACCCCTGTGTGCTTCACTTCCTACCTAGACCTGTAGGTATGGCACCACCACATAGCCATTTTCTGCATTTTCCAGGCTCAAATAGAGTTATCCATCAGCTTGCCTTTGAAAGACCAAAATAAAAGTACAGTTTTACAGATGGTGGGGTGAGTGTAGAGCAGGGGGAATTAGAACCCTTTACTACCCACCCGTGGTGCTGGCCTCTCCTCAGTTGGGGAAAAAGCTTTCCACAGTAAGAAGTACTTCCAGTAATAAGCAAAGGTATTCTGAACATTGTGCCTAATCCTTCTGTGTGTAATCCACAGTGATGGTGACCCTGGACCCTGAGAGCGCACACTCCCGCCTCACTGTATCTAAGGACAAGAGGGCTGTGTTGCAGGACAAGCCCTGGCATGGCCAATCCACTGGGGAGGAGCTGTTCGGGAGATTCCCGAGTGTGCTGGGCTCCGAGCAACTGTCTACTGGCAGACATTACTGGGAAGTGGAAGTGAGAGATGGAGGAAGTTGGTTCCTCGGGGTGTGCAAAGAGGATGCCAACAGGGAAGTCTCTCCCACCTGGACCCCTGACAATGGGTTCTGGAGCAAGGGAGACCTTATTCCTACAGGTGTCTTCAGGCCCCAGAAAACACGTTATCCCCGGATTGGAGTTTTCCTAGACTACGAGGCTGGAGAGCTTTCTTTCTACAACGTGAATGAAGAGTACCACATCTATACCTTCCCTCAGGCTTGCTTTACTGGACCTCTGCGGCCCATCTTCATCACGCCATCCTGGTGTCAGACCTGTCTGACCATCTGTTTAAAACAAAGAAACAGTGCCAAAGATGTCCCCTCTGCTGGTAAAAGGAAGTTTTTGAAAGCATCTACGAGGAGCTTATCAAAACCCTCCCTGTTTGTGTTTGGAGATGCCTCAGCCTCAAATTCCAATGTCGCCACAACTGGATCTCTATAAAGAAGAAATGACAAGGAAGTGCTCTATCATAGAATAGTGTTTCCCTCAGCACGTGTATTGGAGGCATCAGAAGCAAACTCTTCTCTATAAGAATAAGCCACAAATGTGAATTGTGTGTGTGTGGACTGTAGCCACAATCACTGGCTGAGGACAGAGGCTCCAAGAATGCTAATACCACAAGCAGCATTGCCTTCCCTGATGTGGTCTTCTAAAATGATGAATACTTGGTCACATTTCAAACTCAGCAGAATAGTTTTTCCTTAATTAACCAGGGTGCTCATCCCTAACTTATCAACATGGTTAGATTTCAAAGACCAATTCTATCAGCATTATGTGAAAACGTAGTTTGACCACATCAGATCACAAAAATGGATGACTGTATCATTACACAACTGCCAAATTACATCATTACATAACTGCCAAACTACAGAATCATGCCCCAGCCAAGCTAGCAGAACCTTAGCCATTATAGCCAGCAGCATTACTCCTGCCTCAGACCTCGGCATTGGTTACTGCCAGATGCACATCATTAATGCAAAGGAGTTTGATAGTAGGTTTAATGTTTTTTTTTTTACTATGGTTGTAAATGTGAACTATCTGATCATGAGATAGTTTATTATAAGTAAGGAGTAGGCTTAATTGAATTCCTTTAAGAGGTCACAAAAAATTCTGTGCTTCTATATGTAAAGCAGACGTGGCTCAGATTACTTTAAGCAGGTTTCTGACCTAAATGGATGTCAGCAACAAGTCTGATTTGTGTCATTGTCCTGCTCATTATGGGGTGTGATGTTAGTCACCACTCTCTTTGTGTTTGCCAGTAACTATAACAGCAACATACTCTTAAAATAGCCTCCACTGAAAACCCCAAGGTTGAGGTGGCCTCTAAGAATCTTCTCTCAGGTATGAATAGCTATTTTTTAAATACAGTAGACACATTAGATAGGAAAAGGGAAACCTACAGTTGGAAGAGACCTTAGAGGGAAACACACCTTCACCTCTGTACAGTAAAAGATTAACCTTGCCCAAAGACAGGTATGGCCCTTTCCCTCCTGGCTTCAAGAGGTAACCTTTAAGCCTTTAGAATATGTTGCCTGTTCAGTGTCTTTGTTTACCTGAAGGCCTTGAACCACACCAAACAGTCTGTACTAACAGTATGATTCATGGAAGGATACTTGGGCCACATGGTATCAGTTGACATCCGGAGTGACCATGTGGGTGCCTGAACCCCAATAAAATCTTGGCACCAAGGCAGGAATGAGCTTCCATTGTTGGAAATACTCCATACATGTCACACGTTGTTGCTGAGAGAAGTAAGTGGTATCTATACAACCATACTAAGGGCAACCGGAAGCTTGCTCCCAGACTCTCCTGTGCTCCTTTTACTTGTGCTGAGTGCATTCTGTGTCCTTTTTCTTAATAAACCATAACCATGAATATAACACTTTGCTGAGTTCTGAGTCCTTTTAGTGAATTATTTTATCTGAGGGTGGTCTTGGGAACCTCAGACTGCATTTTCTTTTCCATGGTTTATGCTCAAACAGAGCTCTGACATTAGGAGGCAGCACCTTCTATTTTCAAACACCTCTTAAAAGAGTTTTTTTTTCTCATTCTGTGCTGCAATCATTTTCATTTGGAATGCAGATTCCTCTCCTGGAAGTCATATTTGTCAGGCCTTGTGCTCCAGCTCAGCCACCCTCCTGTGAGAGCCCTCTGGTCCTGCTGACTTCTAGGAAGGAAGCCTGGTTCGTGACCATCCATCATTTGTAAAGTCAATCATTTACTCTTAGAAACTGCCGACCTTGAGGTTAGCAGCCCGATTCGTAACCACTACGCTACCAGAGCTCCTGGATGTTACATGAGAGAGTAGTAATTCTGACCTCTATCTCACACTGTAAATAAATACCAAATGATTGTATATATAAATGTGAAAAGTAAAACAATAAAAATTATAGAAGAAAATTTAAGAGAATATCTATTACAATGAGGTTGGTACAGATATCTTAGATATACAGTAGAATATTTAAAAAGCTCATTATTAAAGGCAAATTGGACTATCTTAAAACTAAGAACCTCTGTTTTATCAACATATATAATTAACAAAGTAAAGGGCAAGTCTCAGAGTAAGAGAAGGTATTATCAGATAAATGACTTTGTAGAGAAGAAAAACACATTAAGCCCAATAGAAAAATGGGCAAAGAACTTGAACAGATACTTCATATCCAAGTGTTGTTGGTTAAAAAGAAAAACAAAACAATGGTCAGTGAAGGTACCTAAATGTCATTCTTTTAAATTCCTTATCAAGTAGTTCTTACACCATTTCTGGTATTATATTTGTCTCTGTATTTTGGTCACTTGTTTGAGGGATTCTGTCTTGTTTCATCACATAAGCTGAAATTCTCTGTTTTCTCCAAGACATTGTGGTGCCATCGTATTTATATTTAATTGATGGTTGCATGCTGGTGTGTTCGAATGCACTCACCACCTGTGTCCTTGTAGATGTGAGACTGGAAGTGTGAATGCAATTTTCTGTTCACTGTTTTTGTAGCATAGTTCAGGACAGGTTCACACACCTCCAGACACAGCAGAGGCTGCACAGGAGGGGGTACCACTAGCTGCCAGGCTGGTGAGGGTGGGGACTGGATAAGTCCCTGACTACCAAGGGAGTTCAGGGAATAAGGGAGAACTGCAACTCCCTTACCGCCAACCTCCAGCTGCATCTTGTGCCTCCATGCTGCTGTATCAACAGTCCTAGCAAAGGCTCAAGATGACTGCAGTGCTCCAGGCTAACAGTCAGCCTGCTTTTCTTTTCTGGCAGCTCCTGTTCAGCTTCCTCTTCCAGTTAGCATTCAATACGCTTGTCTGTCCTATCCTCTGATGCTCAGGCTTCCACGATCACCTGTTATCTGTTCCACGATACCTGTTCTGCTTGGTCTCCCATGTACTTATCTGCTCAGCATGTATGCTTCTTTTACCATGTTGCCCTGGAAGTCAATCTTGAAGTCTTCATTTTATTCATCTCTATTTAATTTCTGATGACACCAACATGCACTGTGGCTGCTCAAAATGTAATTGCTGAATTAGTGAATGAAATGAATGTTTCAGGCATGATGCCTATACCTCAGTATGCCTCACTGAAAAATGGACTCATTAAAATTAGAAACGTCTAGCTTGTTTATTTTTCTAAACTGTCCTAGCCTGAAATTTTTTACTTTAAAGTTGAATTGTGTCAGTTCTTCTGTGCACATCAGGCCAGCCCACAGTGACCTCAGGACATATCTAAAGTTTGGAAGTCTCTGGCACCACCAGCAGCCCCAACCCCACAGCTCTGAAATTTCTCCTGTAATATTCTGCACTGCCCCTCTCCCATCTCCCATTAAACTTGGACCCATCCACTCCGGGTGCCTCACTCCAGGTTACTTCCTACAGGGAGCCCCAGGATCATTCAAGCTTTGGGAATTATATACAGAGTCTATACACTTCTCTGCTTGACCAACTCAGAGGACTTCCTGAATGTGCAACACTTGGAATTCTATTCACTTTTGTAAGTACTAGTGCCAGAACAGGGGAATGTTCATTTGATTTCTGTGTAACTAGAAATGTCCTAATAACATCATCAGTTTTACTTGGCATATGATTTTTTTTAAAGCTTATATTGTGAATTCAGTGGTAGTTTACATGAGAGAACATTAGTTTTACACTCATCCTATCATATTATTTTTCATTGCAATGATTACAATCCCCTCCATGCATCATCATTCAACAGTATTTGCTTCTATTCCCTCTGGTTGTTTTTT